GCTTCCTGATTACAATCTGCAGCTTCTTTGCAATTGAGATGGGTGGCATCATGTTCTCCATAGTTGTTCAGCTTGTAGATATTCGTATCTGCATCTCAGGTTCAGATCCTATCACACACATGCACCTTTACCTTCAAGGAGTCACTTGATATTCCTGAACTCGCGCTTGTTCAAGGAAAAGAGAGGACATTCGTCATCTTGCTGGTGCAGCTCCTGCTGACTTGGTAAGGGATTATACAGTGTAATACTTATAAATTGCTCAGCAGGGTATCTTTCTAAGAGGATATGCTCAATAGAATTGAGCTTTGTTTGGTTGGTTATTTTCCTCTCTCACTCTACATATACACACTACCTCATGAGTTCTCCTTTCTCCAACTTGTGAAATGAACTCAGCATAATAACATTAAAAAGGAGATTAGATTACAAGAGAAGTGGGCTTCCTGCCAAAATATCCCGAGAGCTCTAATACAAATGGAATAAATGTGTTTGAAAATGAAATAAAGTCTTTAAAGGGTTATATCATCTCTCTGTGTATTAAAACCATACATGCTCATTGAAGAAAACTTCTGCCTTATGCTACACAAAAAATGATGTGTTTGTATTTTTCCAGATAATAATCCTGAGCCACTTTGCTTTGCTGTCTTCAGTTTTAAAAGGATTGAATTATAATGCTGTGTATCTGTGTGTAGCATCTTCCACTGTTGGCTTTTTTTTTTTTTTCGGTAACAAGTGTACCTAATTGTTTTTCTTTCATACACACTCATACCTGTTAAAGTTAGTTTCTAGGCAGAACACATGGGACAGAATAAATAAACAATTTGAATAGCATCAATCACTCTATTTCAGTCCTTTTTGGATTTTCTCAGACAGTATGCTTTCTGATTCCAGGCATAAACCCCAAGGTAAATGATATGCTAAAGATACAGGTTAAAGGGCAGAGGAGGGAGGATTGATGCCTGTTATCCTATTATCTGTCCCTTTGCTCTCACTTTAGATTAATTGCAGCTGCTTTCTGCACATATCCCTGGGTATTAACTATGCTCTCCTGCTTCCAGGGCTTTGCTGCTCACACTGGGTTCTTCACGGTTTCAGGAGAGATATTGGAAGTGTCCAGAGAGGTTACATAATACTTAAATTTGTAGGAAAAAAAAAAAAAAAACAAGAATGAAAATTTATGCTAAGTTCCACAAGAGCAGGCATTCATATGAAAACTTGTTAGGTGCCACCTCAAGGCTCAGTGGACACTAGGATCCAAGAGAATGCACAATACATAGTTTTGCTGAGGCTAAGAAAAGGGGGGTGGATAACGGAGGAAGTAAGCTGTTTTTATTGTTGCTGTTGTTTTCTTTTCTTTTGTTTCTTAGATAAGTTGGTTTTTAAGACTGTAGGGAGAGGTATAGATCTGTTGTTTAGTTTTGTAAATCAGTGTTTTCCTGGGTTGGAGACCCAGGAAAATGCTGTGCTTTCCTTTTGCACCCTCCAGGAAATGAACAAATAGCTGACTTTTAGGGATTCAGAGCTCAGTTTAGTGCCTTTCTTTGGGGTGTGGGTTTTAAGTTTCTCTTTATCACCCTATAATTTCTATATCACCCACTGTCATTCCTGTTTCAGCCTTTAACTGGGTGTTCACACATGAAAGCTCTTGGTCACTCAAGCCTTTCCTGGGTGCTTCAGTAAGGCCTGCATCCCCTCTCCTGTCCATCGTTGCACCTCTCCTCCAGTTGAACTTCCTGGCCAGCACTTAAGTGTTAGGAAGGCAGACACAATGCTTTTCTTGCCCATCTTATTTTCTGGAATTTATAATTAACTAACTAGAGTCTCAAAATGTGTTGATTGAAGAAATGAAGGAAGAAGCAGGACTGGTTCATGACTGTCCACTGTAGATGTTAATAACTCAAATTCACCTAAGATAGGTGTGACCAGAATGAGAACGTAATGATTTTTGATTGGTAAATTAAATCCTGTTTTATAGAAGAAATTCACCTCTATGAGAAAAAGCCCATGTCATGTTAATAATTGTAGTCTAGTTGTACCCAGTGTTTTCTTAAACTACCTGTTTCATATTTTCATAACTTTTGAAATAATATGAAACATTCACAAGATATCAACAATATAACAACAATATCAAACAATCACTTAGCTTAAACTAAATACCTATGAAACAACCATGAAGCTTGTATTCATTAAGCGACTACATCACACATTAGAAGAGAAAAGTTCTATAGCATATTCTAATTAGTTTTTATTCACATGTAACAAAAATTTTATTTACATTTAGTTAGTTAGGATGTGAAAAATAAATATATTCCTAAGGAAATTCAGGAATTATAAATTTTTTGACTCCTTGAAACTGCATTCTCTATTAAACTATCTTTTCTTTTGAGAACAACAGAAAATATTTAAGTAAATTAAAGTTATCAAACAATTGCTTTTATATTTTGAAGCAACAGTAATAAAAGTGTTTGTAAGATCAAAGATTAAGAGCTTCAAGTCAAAAACAAAACCAAAACTCTCCAGGGACTGAAGAGTTGGCTCAGATAGTAAAACCATCTATCAAGCAAGCATGATGGCATGAGCCCAGATCCCGTGACAAATTAAAAACAAACAAATAAACAAACAACAAAAATAGGCCATGCAGTGTGCTTTTTAAAGCCCAGAACTGGGGGTGGTAGATTCTTAGGGCTACACCAGCCAGCCAGTCTAGCTGAATCTGTGAGTTACAGGTTCATGGAGAGACTGCCTCAGAATAAATAAAATAAAATAAGGGGGGGAAGTTATTGAGGAAGCACCTGATGTTAACTTTGGGGCTATACTGACAGGAACACATGGGCACACAGGTGCGTTCATACCTACACCACCAATATGTACATATATTACAAACATAATATACATTATAGATTATATACATATAATAGATTATACCTAGAGATATAGTCATGAACACAGATAAACTGGCTAATATTTATAATAAAACATTTTTTTTTTAAATTACTAAACCCAAGTAGATCATTCTTCTGGCAAGGTCTAAGACTATTTAAAGTGCTGCTAATTTTTTTCAGTTCAATGATGCTCACTATAAATTTAAATATGACTCTGAGACTTATGGTAGGACTCTTAGACCTGCCAGCAGTATGAATATTGACACTGAGGCTTTTTAATAGTTTAAAGCTTATTCTTTTTAGCTGGGCATATTACCAGCCAGCTTTCTAGTTTAACCTGACTAAACCTGGCACTGTGTCCCTTCATGTGGTCAGCTCCATCTCTCTGCTCCTGTTCACGTCTATCCAAGTCTGTGTCCTGCAGGCGAATCTCTCATGTTTTTCTTCCTTTCTACCTGAGTTCTCTCTTCCAGGAGTTCTGCCCTCCATCTTCTGCCCAGCTGTCAGACCTCTACTACATCCAATAGGCAAGTGAGGAAGGACGAATGTTTACAAAATATGAGACCGGTAACGGGCCATAGGAATAACAATACCAAGATCTGGCTAGTAGGGCTAACATTTAGCCCTGTCAGGTTTAGCAATCAGCAATCAAATATACAGAGACACACAATGTACCTCAACAGAGACTAATTTTCTAGATTAAATATTGTTGGTAAAATCAGGTTCTTTTATCTACTGTAATGTATCCCATGTTATTCTAAGATGAATTCACAGTCCAGGAAAATCTCACTTTTGTTATAGTGCCTTACAGTAATACCCTAGGTAACATGTAAAGGGCAAGCCATGCCAGGTTTCTTGAGATATCTGCATACCATCACGACCATCGTGCTCATTTTGAGAGACGTGTATGTATTCAAATCCCAACATAGGAGCCTAGGGAAGAGGGATCGCCCTCTGTGTTCCATGGATTCAACCAACCACAGAAAAATGCTCAGGAAAAACCACTGAGTCTTTATTAAATATACAAACTTTTCACTTGACTGTTTCATAATCAAAACAACTTACAGAATGACAACTCTGTCATCAAGACCCAATTTTAACTTCATAAGAGACTATGGAGAAATTAAACCGAAATGTTGTGCCATTTTATAGAGTGGTCTCGGATGTCCATAGGTTTTCTGTCTGTGGATGCTCAGCATTGATGTATCCCAAAAATTCACTAAAATAACATATGTCAACATTTTAATCCACTAGAAAGTAAGTTTTTCTTTTGCTGTTGCGTTCTGAAGAGTGGATGCTCAGAGAAGTGTGATAGCAATGAGTTTCTAATCTTCACCTACCAAGTCAATGTGCTTTACTACTGTTCACTCATCCACAGTTCTATTTCACATGTGAATTTTCTCCCTAAAGGCTGAAAAGCAGAGACATAATATCTAAGTCTCTCCTGGATTTGCAACTTTTATAGTGATAGGTGTCATGGTGCAGGTTCTCTTTGCATTGGTTAAGAAAAAAAAAAGACTGAAACTATCCATTTGAGTCAACATTTACTTGGTTTTATTTTGAGTTTGTGCAAGTACTCGGGCTTGAAAAAAAATGGGCATAAATTTTTTAAACTAAATACATAGTGAGACTGTTCATCATCACTTATCCATGTTAAACTAGACAATAACAAGTATCCACGAAAAATATTTTAATTGGATCTGAAAGTAGAAGGGCAGAATTGCACACTGACAATTTTTAACAGACACCTGGGCACTACCGTATTTGTACTTGACTGTTTATCTCAATTTCAAAACCATTCTTAATTGATTTATGATGAACTCTTAAAAGTTTTAGTGGTTATATGAAAAATAAATGAACAAAAACTATGTGCAGACTGAGGACTTAATTCAAACGTTATGGATAAGAACATGATTGGCATTGGCTTTCTTCCCAAGAGAAATTCATCACAGTGAATGCAATGAAATGACAAATAATAAAAACTTTCAGAGCTCCAGAATGGATTATATTATCTTTATATTATTACTGAATACCATAGAATCTGACATTTATGTTGTTTAGAAAAGAGACTTAGGGGGCTAGAAATATGTGGCTAAGAGCACCTCTACTGTTCTTTCAAAGGACCCATGTTCCCAGCACTTTTGTTACACTGTTCATGACTGCCTGAAATTCTAGCTGTAGAGAAGACAATGCCTTCTTCTGACATTCTGAGTACTCCACACGTAAGCTTGGGCACACCCACACAGGCACACACACACTTAATTAAAATACAGAAACATAAGGTATTTTAAAGTTTTAAAAATGAAACTTTGTCTCCATGATTAATTCTCAGTCTTACCAAGTAGATATTATATAAAATGGAGATATATCACACAGTAAATGACTATTTTCCTGAACTCTATTATTATTCAAAATATGTGCAAGTTTAGTATGGAATACTTATAAAGAGTTAACACAAGATATTATAAAAAACATAACCCTGCAGCTATTTTAGAAATATTCTGCACTATCACATATCCAGCCAAGATTTAGTTCTTCACACGAAAATAAATAAGCATGTTCATCTCATCAATATACAAATTTGATTTCCTGCTTAATAAGTGCTATAATTCTTTGTATAACTGTTTCAAATGAAATTCTTTATTGTTTAATTTTTAAAAGTTTCAGTAAAATGACATTCTATTATTGTGGTGGTTTATATGAAATGACCCCCATAGACTCACTTGGAAATAGCATTATTGGAGGTATGGCCTTGTTGGAGAAGACTGTGGTCTTGCTGGAGGAAGTTTATTACTGTGGGGTAGCCTTTGGGGTGTCAGAAGCCTGGCCCAGGCTGTCTGTGGATCCAGATATAGAACTCTTGGCTCTTTCTCCAGCATCATGTCTGCCATGTTTTACTCCATGACAATAAGGGCTAAACCTCTGAACCTGTAAGCCAACCTCAATGAAATGTTTTTCTTTATAAAGGTTGGCTGTGGTTATGGTGTCCCTTCACAACACTAGACATACTAAGAAAGCCACACTCATGTTCTCTTTCTTAGAAACCCTACCATAGATCAGTATGTTGATTAGCCATTAACAGAGAAGCTTCCTCATACAGTAGATAGGAAAAAATACAGAGAGCCACAGCCAGATAATTTGCAGAACGTGAGAGACCTTGGAAGGTTCAGGCCTAGTTGGGATGATTCCATCAAATCTTTCTTCCCAGAGCTCAGGGGAACCCTACAGAAGATGAGGAAAAAAGAGTGAAAGAACTAGAGGTAATGGAGGGCATCAAGGAATCAAGGATTCTAAATCGACAGAATTGATAGGCATATGAATTCAACTGATTCCTTGGGGTTTCCTTGTCTCATTATATCATCTTTTCCATCTCATTTAAAATTTTTTATCTTATTTGTATTTTTTCTCTTTTTACCCCACAGGTCCTTTGTGTATATATTATGGCTTCTAGTTTAGTGTTTTTACTTGATTACTAAAGGTGCAAATAAATAGGCTGCTGTGTCAATACATGTTTCTTGTGCCTTTTGGTTCTTTTCCTTATGTCTGTTTTGTCATGTTCTGATGTGTTAGATTTTGTTTTACCTTATTTTAGTTATTATCCCCTCTTACAAACCTGTTCTATAGTGAGAGTCAGAAAGGAAATGGATCAGGGTGGGAGGGAGGTGTTGAGAACCTGAAAATAGTAGAGGGAGGGGAGAGTATAATTAGGATATATATTGTATGAGAAAAAAATTCTATTTTTAATAAAAGAAAAATGTAAAAATATTTACTTGTGCTTGGGAGACTGTACATATATGGTAGTACATGCATACAGAAGTTCTTGGAGGTCAGAAGGGGAGATGGATCCTCTTGAACTGGAGTTACAAACTATTGTATGATACTGTGGGGATGTAGAGAACTGAATCTAACTCTTCTAGATAAAAGCAAAAACTGCTCTCGACTACTAAGCCATCTTTTCAGCCTTATCATGAAAAGAATTTTAAATACTTGAGCAATATTGAACAAAGGGAAATAACATAGTACTTATCAGTGAGGCACTGAACAGCACTTTTTGCATCAGAAGAATAACATCAGGAACAGCTTTTCAGACAAATGATGCTCACTTGCTACAAGTTTGTAAATATATCTCAGATATAATGTGACAAAAAGCATATATGTGTCATACCTATTCATATATATATATATATATATATATATATATATATATATATATATATGTATGTTTTATACATCAAATATACAAACTATATTAAAAGCTCCTAAGAGGACAATGCAAGCATTAGAGTGTTAGGTGAAACAGAAGTCAGACAAGATGCTATGACAGATGCATCCTTTTTTTCCATCTCCTTCTAGAGAAGACAAAAGAAGTTGTATGTAGTTGCCAAACTTAGAAGCATCCAGATTCAAATCAGGTTCTGTGCTTCCTTTTTAATCATGGATTAATTTTAAAACATTCCTGAAGAGCTTATACATCAACATTTCAGGTGCCAGTTACAATCTTTGGATAGGGGAATGGATAAAAATTATCTAGACCCATGTTTGGATGTACTATGAACCTAATACCTGTATCAACCCACCTTTGCCTTGCCAGGCCACAGAGGAAGACAATTCAGCTAGTCCTGATGAGACCTGATAGGCTAGGGTCAGATAGAAAGTAAAGAGGTCCTCCCCTATAAGTGGGTTTGGGAGGAGACAAGGGAGGAGACCACAGCTGGGATTCAAATTGAATAAATTGTAATAAATAATAATAATTAAAATTAAAAAATATTAAAGTAGGTAGCAGATGGGAAAAAAAGTTTTACAAGGGCTTTCACTTTTGCTCAAAGAATTAATGCTTTTTTATATAAACTGTAATCCCCATATCTCATTGGCTGATAGCCCAATAGTCCATCTCACACTAAGTATATTTCTGTGCAACTATCTCATTCCAATCTGATGAGTCAATTAGAGTAATTATAATCTTTATTTATTAGAGTAGATATGTTTAAAGTTAGCATTAAAAAGAAGTCTGCTATGTAAATGCTTTGGGAAGTCATAAAATCATACTATCAAAGAGGGGAAACAAGATTATACAGACATAGATATCACAAGAAAATATAGAAGTCTGAAACTGAGAGTGAATGATTTAGTGTTAAATTCTCCATCTTTATCCATTATCATTATTTCATGAATACAAATGGAATCTACACCCATGACATCATCTGCAGGACCATTTGCAACTAAAATGATTTTCATCTGCTAGATTAGAAACAGTGCATTACAGACTACTCTGGAAAATTGTAAAAAGATCGCTCAGTTTAAAAAATAAAATAATTTTATAATGGTGAATTTTTAAAAGATTTTTTTTTTTTTGTTATCCAATGATGAGAGCTAAATGGCATCTCTCTGTAGAGTTGTATAATTACTGGGACACATATCTTGCTGTATTAACTATCAAAGTCATGATTAAAAAAGCATTTAGTTCTTACTGAATAAATCATAAGAACTCATTAGAATTTGGTTATTAGAACATTAAAATCCTGACAGCATGATCCACAGTTACAAAAGCACTTCAACTTGCTTGTTTTCTTAAGAGAGGATTTGCATTTTACAGCATCCAGGAGCTTACTCTATCTACTTGTGGAGACTTTATTGGCCTATTTAAATAATTCCAGCATACTTGACTTAAACAGGATTTAGGTATGTGGAGACCATGTGTCCCATTTTCTAGTTTCACAACTCAGGATCACTGTAAGATTGAATGTGATTAGACACTATCCATCAAAAGCAAGTGTAAATACTCAGTGATTCCCTCTCTCTCTCTCTCTCTCTATGTATCATTTTAGGAAAGACAGGTCTGCCTTGAAAACAAAGTTATGTATGACATTTTTATGGCTTCAAAATTATCCTTTGAGCTATGGATATTGTTTAGTTGGTAGAATGCTTACCTAACATTCATGAAGCCTTGAGTTCAGTCCCCAGCATCACTTAAACTGGATGTGCTGACTGGAGGATCAAAAGTTCAATGTCATCTTTACCCATCTAGACAGCCCAGGATACATGGAGACTCTGCTTCCAAAAATACAAAAACAAAACAAAATATCCGAATTGTGTTGACAGGGAAAAAGGAAAGTATACAGCTTCATGCTAGAAGTAAAATACTTTTCTGAGTGTGTTTAAACTGTCAATGGCTGGTTATATTATTTTGTTTCAATTTATCCAAAGGAATCACTGTCACCCAAAATTAAAATTGACCTATTAGTCAAACAATTACCATGTGTGCCTTATTAGAGGAAATGTAATGCATAGTGAATTTGAAGTATTGGTTGAATACATGGTCTTTGTAACCAAAGAATATCTGACAAGCATTGGTAGTGCTCTAGAGTTATAGGTCTGATGGACACCGTGGCTTTATAGACAGTCCACACTAGCATGGAGTCAAACCTTGACTATTCTTTCCATAAATGCACTGTAACTAGGAAGCAGCAGAAATTTCATACAACAAAACAACATGGGAGAGTGTCACATCAGAAACAACATAGAGCCTGCAGCATAGAGAAGAGTGGGCATCTGCTCTCTTGTCTTTCACAGCATGAAGATATATCACTGATCTTGGGACTCACAAGACAGGAAAGGATTGCAGCGGGAACCCATGTTATCAAAAAGATGATGTTATCACATCATGTTTTATTAGAGGACTTACTAACAGTGACCTTCATGAGAATAGACATCCTGCTTGGATGTGGCTGACTGGCAGCTCAGTCTCTATGTGGATCTCTGAGTGGGGGTAGCAGGGGCTGCCTCTATCATGAACTCTGTTGCCTACTCTTTGATCACTTGCCTCTGGAGATGCGGCCTTGTCAGGTCATGAGGAAGAGGATCCAAGCAGTCCTGATGAGACTTAACAAGCTATAGGCAGATGGCAATAGTAGACTCCCCCTTTCAGTGGACTAGGGGAAAGGGATGAGGGGAAGAAGAAGGGAGGATGGGACTGGGGGAGTTGATGGAGGGGGCTATAATGAATAAATTGTGAAGAAAAAATAAAATTAAAAAAAGAGAATCATCTATAAATAGAAGCTCATGACTTTCTATGACATGTGCTAATGCTTAAAGGCAAAATCAAAAGTAAAAGAGATGGCTCAGAGCTTAAAAAATATATACTGTATACTTGAGATTGTGGTTTTTGTT